GCTCGGTGTGACTCCGATCCGCTTGCGGTCTGATGACTAGCGGAGCTGCGGGCTTTGCCCCCCTCCATGTCTCTTGTTCCTTCGCTTGCTTGTCTTATTCTTGAGAGCACGGCTATCTTTTAAGTTTTTTGTCTTCCAGTGCTGCAGTCCGTGTTTCAGACTGCTTTTTAGCTCTTTCTGTTTTCTGGGCAGTGCAGCCGTTTCAAAAACAGAGAGTTATTCCTCAACTTCATTGGTTTCTTGCGGCTGTTACACTTGCGTGGATGCCTTTTAACTATTTTCTTTCCCCTCCCTTAAGCAAAGAGTAGAAACAAACCTAACAATACATGGATTGGTGATACAATAAAATGATCTCACTGTAGCTAAAGGAGGCAGCCCCGAAGTTGGGCTCTCTGGTCCAGTTGTTTCTCAAGCATTGGTGCTTGTCTGGCCACAAAGCGAGCTGGTTCAAGCACCTGTACTGGCAGTAAACTAACCTACAAAGGGAAAAAAAAAATAAATCTTTGAACTGACTTATCTTGAACGCAGAAGAGTGCGTTTCAGAAGAGAGTGGGGACTTACAGCTGAAGCAGGGGATGAAATTGTCCTTTTGTCACCTAGCCGTTAAGATGTATAACCTGTATTGTTCCCTGTCAGTTCTCCTTCTTTCTGGTATATGTGGTGAATAACAAAGATGAAGAGTGTCTTGTCTGAAGATGCATTTGAAACATAGCAGTAGGCTCCTGTTACGTGCTCTGTGGAGCCAGGCCTTATATTTCAGCAGTGGCCCCTGCAGAGTGTGTGTGCTGCATCAGACTCCCCAAGAAGTGGTTTTGGAAAACACCTGTTTTCATGCCGATAGCGTTCAGATCAGCTTGGAAATTTGGCATTGACAGACTGAAGTATTTCTAGACACACAGAGAAGCATAAATGTTAAACATGTTGGGAAATTTACTGATCTAAAAACTCGGATGCCTTGGCTGGGATTACTCACAATGTTCAGGATATATTTTCAGTCTTTTGTTTTTAAATTTCATTTAAATAGCAGATTTTTCTCATGAAGATATTGTAGGCTTTTTGAGCATTGTTTTCCTAAATATGTCTAAAAATGGAGGAAAAGATAACCAAGTTGCCATTTTGTAAGGCTCTTGCAGGCATAAATGTATTAGACTTTGAAATACTTAATGACATGTCATTGTGTGCATCTTAGTGCCTTAGTGTATCCTGTATGTCTATAGTATATATTCAAACTTGCCTGTTCTGTTTTGTGATTTTATTTTTTTTATTAATTTTTCTTTTTTCTTAATCCATTTTTGCTTCTATACTTACTTTTCCCTCCCTTTTTTTGATTTAGGGAACAGCTTGCATGTATTTCAAACGCTTTTACCTCAATAACTCGGTGATGGAGTATCATCCTCGGATAATAATGTGAGTTATCAATGCATCTTGAGTTATTCTATTGAGCAGAACATTGGAGATATAATCTTTGTATCTGTAAAGACCTGAAAAAATGAGAAGAAAATTTGAGAGCTTGAATATGAGTAAAGACAAAGTATGGTCGCTTTCAGTTTCCATTTAGAAAAGTTTGCGTTCAGAACATGGTGTTTTGAAGAGATAAACTTTCTGAACAGAACTCTTGGTAAAAAGATGGATGCTGCATATGTCAATTGTTTGCTTTTTTTCCCTTCCTCAAGGCTCACGTGTGCATTTTTGGCCTGTAAAGTAGATGAATTTAATGTGTCCAGTGCACAGTTTGTTGGTAACCTTCGAGAAAGCCCTCTTGGACAGGAGAAAGCTCTTGAACAAATACTGGAATATGAACTACTGCTTATTCAGCAACTGAACTTCCATCTCATCGTCCACAATCCATACAGGCCATTTGAGGGATTTCTAATTGATTTGAAGGTAGTGTTGTTTTGTATGCTACATACTCTGTATACTAATGTGATATGAATCTGTAGTGGGTTGTTACAAAACTTTATTTCCTTTTGTGCCTGTGATCTTAAAAGACCTAGTTTCTAAAGTGATAGGCAAGTATCTGCAAGGAAGTCGGTTTAGTTGTGGTCTTTAAGCACTTTAGATTATTTTTGGAATAAGAAGATGGCCTGCTACTTTTTCGCTTTAGAGAATATTGTTGAATTGTGTGTTCTGAGCTCACAATCCAGAAGACAAGGAACAGCTACTTACTTTCCTAAATACTTACTTTTTAGACTCGCTATCCAATGCTGGAGAATCCTGAAGTTTTGAGGAAAACAGCTGATGACTTCCTCAGTCGAGTGGCTCTGACGGATGCGTATCTGCTCTTTACTCCCTCACAGATAGCTCTCACTGCCATATTATCTAGTGGTTCAAGAGCAGGAATTAATATGGAAAGGTAGTCTTTTCTTTTTCGTTAGAGGTATGATTTAAACAGTTTACTGCTTCTTGTATAAAATTATTTTGTTCTAGACATTCTTAACAATTAGAAGTGTGTATTTACTGATTGTTAGCACTCTGGTGTGTTCTTTAAGTATGTTTCAAAGCTGAAGCGATACTGGTTTGTGTGGTTTTGGTCCCGTCCCACCCCGTCCCCCCGTCTATTTTCAAAAAGTAGGTGGTAAATGCAATTAGTTGGTTTCTGGTTTTTATATTTCTTTGGAAGCAGGGAAAAAAAAAATTCAGAGTGGTGACTTTGCCCTAATTAGAACAGCATAGGATTTTCAGACTCATCTTGAGGATTAGAGTGAAGAAAGTAGAAATACAGTAGAAACTGAGTGTATGAAACATCTAAAGAATCACTTAAAGAAGAAGAAAAAAAAACTTTTTAAGGTATCTAAGGTTACAGAGTCAAATGAAATTACACTGAGCTGGCAGCTACTAGGCATGCGGAAATTAAGTGCTGTATTTGGCTGTTACAACTGTTCAATTTCCATGGAAATGGACTAACTATAAGGTGCTGTTTTAAATCAGCCCCTTCTTTCATTTCTGTGGTTTAGCCACTAGTGTTTGCAAAGGCATTATCAAACACTTTGATATCATTGCTGAAATGCATGGTTTGTTTGGTTTGGTTCTTTTTAAGGACAAAACATATTCTTTCCTTCAGAAAAACAACTGAGGTACAGCTACTTACAGCAGCTATCTGGAGATTGCTGAAATGCATGGTTTGTTTGGTTTGGTTCTTTTTAAGGACAAAACATATTCTTTCCTTCAGAAAAACAGCTGCTGTAAGTAGCTGTACCTCAGTTATCTGGAGTGTTTTAATCACATGATGCTCTGTGTGAGCATTTTGCATCTAGAGTGTAATGCCTGCAGGCACAAGGGCTGATGCTAAATGCAAACAGTTCTTTTTAAAGGTGGTTTCCTTCCACCTGCTCTAAATGAATCTCAAATCTCTCTTGCTCTAGAAGAACGAGACAGTGTGGGAGTATCCTCTACAGGGTTTACTGTCCTCTCAGAAAAGTGTAAAAACATTCAGGTGCTTACTATAACTTGAAACTTGTTGATCTCATTCCTGAATTTATATTTTGTACTCTTTGTGCAAAATTCAGAAAAGCATGCTTACAAAAAGAACTAGAATAATTTGTAGATAGAGTGTGAATCAAGGTATCTGAACTTTATCTTTGCGTATTCATGAAGAACTCAAGTCTTTGTCACTTGTCTGTGCCATACAGTTGCTGTAACCTTGTCATTTATTGTTTTACGTGAGTTTTATCTGCTGGACATGAGAGGAGCTAATGCTGCAGCTGGGGTCTTGTGGACCTGTGAGTAGGTGCGTCTGCAGAGGTGGGATGGAACATGGAAGGTTTGAAGACCTGTCGATCCCACGATGTCAGTGTATAGGTCAGTCTTGAAAAAGAGCTTCAGGAAAAAACAGGTGCCACTGTGCTCTGGCTAATAGGTGGCTCCAAATTAATCTTCAGTTCTGGTATCAGCACAAGGTTAAATACTCTTAAATTTGAGCTCTACAAGAGCAGTGATGCTAACAGAGCAGCTATCAGCTTATAGCAATCACCATCTTCATGGTGGTTGGTGCCTCAGTCTGGGAGCTGCAACTGATAAAGCTGTGTGTGCCTATGAAGTAAGTTGGAAGTTAACACAGACTGAACAGATTGATATACTTTGGAGTCTTTGGATTTTTGTAGTTTATCTGTAAGTGCGCTTCCCGGGAAGGGATAAAACTACTTGGTTGTTGTGGATCTTGGTGAGGATTGTTGCTCATGTGTGTTGGGGTTTTACCCAGGTGGTGTGTGTATGTATTAATGTTCTTACTAAAAGGAAGTTTGAATCTCTGAGGGAAGAGGAAAGGACCCACAGACTCTTAGAAGACAGCATTTAGGATTTGCTTTCGGCTGCCAAAAGAAGCAGTCCCATCTTGCAAGCTTTGCTGTCTGTTGGTCTGTCTGAAGGCTACTCTTCTGTAGTATTTGCTTTTCCAGCAGCCATACTGTGCAATAGCGTGATGTTAGTATGACATTTCATAGAATCTTAGGCATAAGTTGACTTAACTCAGTGAGGCTTACTTACAAATGTGTAATTCTGCAGTGTTGGAATTTTGGTTCTTTTCATGGCTGGGGAATACTTTTGTCACATTCTTACAGAAGAAGAATGTTACAAGTGACAGATTTGCTTTTTTATGACTTTATAGCACTTAAGTAACCCAAGTGCTCTTACTAAGTCTAATCATAAAGCTCTAGCAGATGTAAATAATAAATAATACACATTTTATTAACCAATGGTAGCTGCCACACAGATTTGCTTTTTTATGACTTTACAGCACTTAAGTAACTGAAGTGCTCTTACTAAGTCTAATCATAAAGCTCTAGCAGATGTAAATAATAAATAATACACATTTTATTAACCAATGGTAGCTGCCACAAATAATTATGACACTTTATTTTAAGAACTTACTCTTCCATGTCTTTTTGCAGTTATTTATCAGAAAGTCTTATGCTGAAAGAAGACAGAACATCCTTAGCCAAGCTACTGGATGGCATGAAATGTAAGTAAACATTGGAAAAATATGATAAACAGTATCTCTAAAGGAAGAAAAACAGCTTTTCCCAAACAATAAAAGCTTTAAGCAGAAAGGTGTGCTTTAAGTGGTTTTCTTTACCTCAGGGCATTCTTAAGGTAAGTAAAACACGGGCAGTAGAATGAACTACCTAGCATGTGGATGCACGGGGGAGAAAACACTGAGACTTCCCTATGATATGAACAAACAAAATTAAAATGCAAAGGGCCTGATGCTTCTCAGAACGTAAGTGCTATAGTCAATTAAGTGCTAGCAACTGACTCAAAAGTGAGAAATCTGTTTTGGGAACTAGATAATGGGTTTGTGAGTCAGGATGAAATGAGTCTTTTCAGTCACGGTGTCTTAAAAATTACAGCTTCAGGCAAAAGCCTGCACATAACTACTTCTACCACCAGAGGGTACCTTTTCTAAGCTAAATGATTAATGTTAAGTGATATGCCAGGATTTATACTTTGCTTCTGTTTTGCAGCCATAAAGATGTTTCAAAAGATAATTACGTTTGCTAGTGTGAGAAATACATATATATCTCTCTCTATATATATAAAAATATCCAGAATGCTAGCAGGGTTTAGCTAAGATAATAGGGAATGTAGTACATTGATTATTACCTTTTTTTAATTAAAGGAAAAGGCCGGGATATGACATTTTCAGTAGGCAGTTATTTAATGCTTAAGCTCATGCATACATTTAAAATGGGAAAGTGGTAGCATTAAAAATGCAGTCCTTTGACTAAGCTGATTTAGTAGTGGAATGCACCGTACAAGTCACCAGGGTCTACAAATTCAATTTAAATTCAGTTTATAAAACTTCCCTTTCTCTTCCTGCTAACAAATCCAGTTTTCAGGTTTCCATTGCTGAGATGCAAAGGGAACTTTTGCTAGTGTGAGAAATACATATATATCTCTCTCTATATATATAAAAATATCCAGAATGCTAGCAGGGTTTAGCTAAGATAATAGGGAATGTAGTACATTGATTATTACCTTTTTTTAATTAAAGGAAAAGGCCGGGATATGACATTTTCAGTAGGCAGTTATTTAATGCTTAAGCTCATGCATACATTTAAAATGGGAAAGTGGTAGCATTAAAAATGCAGTCCTTTGACTAAGCTGACTTTAGTAGTGAATGCACCGTACAAGTCACCAGGGTCTACAAATTCAATTTAAATTCATTTCATAAAACTTCCCTTTCTCTTCCTGCTAACAAATCCAGTTTTCAGGTTTCCATTGCTGAGATGCAAAGGGAACACTGGGATCATTTACTGTTTGCTTGCATTATTCTGGAAGGTAGCTTTAGCCCAAAGGCAGCTCTTCCGTAAACATACAATGGCTGAAGGAAATTTTGAAGCATCTGTAAATGTCTAGTTTTACAGAGAACTGATGGTAGAGGAAAAAATCTTGTTTCTTGCAGGGAAACTGTAAACTTAATTTGCATTCTTAACAAGACTGAAACCAATGTTTTTTTTAAGACTGAGGTATGATGCTGAATGCAAAAAATACCTGTGTATTTTGAAGCTTGTTAGCAGAGTAACGTGAACTCTACATCATTATAATTTACCTTGAGGAAATCCAGAATCAGCGATGCTGATGACTTCTTCCAGTGTAGTTCTTTGTGCTCAGCTTCTGCTGTACCTTGATGTTATTTAGAATTAAACCTCGGATGTAAGATGGTAGTTAAGTCTTACATATGTAATCTTCAGTGCTCTGAAGTTTGAGTGCTATGTGGGAAGGGAAGTTTTGTAAGCAAGCAGCTTGGGAGGAATTAATACTTTGAATGTCTAATGCTTGCTTTGACAAATACATGGACTTTACTTGGTAAGCTTTCTGTCTCAACTGTTTGCAATATGTTGCATGTTGCCTTGTAGTGTCTTTTGAGTCTGTTTAAGAACTAGATATGATGCTTTCAAAACCTTACAGAGGTGTGGATTTCAAAACTTCTTAGATTCTGTTTTTTCTTTGTGTAGCATTCTGATTTTTTTGGTGTACTTTCCCCCCCGCCCCCCCCCCCAGCAAAACCTGCTTGAAAATGTATACTGTGCTCCTGTTATGAGGGAAGGGAGGGTAAACTGTTGGCTCAAGCTTAAGTATGAGGGATGAGCGATAACATTAGCCATACTACTGATTGGTAAGCTTGTGTAATTCACAAGGTGGAGCAGAAGTTATTTCATTTGCTTAGAGCTGTGTTGTTGCCACTGTAGGCATGAAAAATCTCATAAAGAAATACGAACTGCCAAGGCCTGAAGAGGTTGCTGCTCTAAAACAGAAATTAGAGAAGTGTCACAGCTCGGAGCTTTCACTTAATACAAACCCGTAAGTAGATACTTACTCTTTGATGTGTTAAATTTCTGCCTTTTTTATTGCTATAGAAACATTAACTTTCTCTGATCTGTGTGAGTGACTGAAAATGTAAACATCTAAAGGGACACACAAGGATGTCTGTTCACATGCTTACTATGTGAGTGTCTACTGGAAGCTGAGAACCAAGACTCCAAGTAGTGCTTTCAGTAATACGTAAATACGTTCTTCTGCGCTGATTTGCACTGCAGGCTGTAATACTGATTGTTTTGTAACACAGAACTGGAATCCCAGGTGGCTTCTAAGGTCTGGCCACTTGATGTCATTTGTAATGAGAATCAAGGGCTTTAAAATCACGTGATTAAAACAAGAATTGTGCAAAGTGTTAATGTTTTCTTAAGACTTATGTGGATGGCAAAGGACTTCCTGATTTTTATTTTCTGCCCTTTTCACTTTAGTACCCAGTGTGAACTTCCAGCAAGCTGTTAGTTGAGACTTCGGTAGTTTTTTATGTCACAAATACGTCCATAATCTAATCTTGTGGTCAAAGAAGGAAACTCTTATAAAAATACCTAAACATTTCACTTTTTTTTCTGGATGGGGGTTAGGAAGAAGAGGAAAGGTTATGAAGATGATGACTATGTCGCAAAGAAATCTAAAATGGATGAGGTCAGTAAACCTATTGTACAAGTACTTGTTTTTCCACTTGTAACTGCCAAGACAAAAGTGACACAGCTACCGAGACAAACTTCTGCATCTGTTAGTATTCTTTTATGTGTTGCTTAGACAGAACCTTTTTCAACTTTGTTTTTAAAAATGAGCCAGTCTGTACTAGTCTGTGTTTAGGAGTGTTCTTAAATACCCCCATCTTTTGTGGGGAGGGGGAAGAACACGCAGGCCATCCTTCCTGCTGTTTCCTGTGCTTTGAAAGTCTTTTGACAAACTGTGGAACAACCACAGAACAATGTAAAGCTTAGTACTTATAATTCCAGCATGTGAAACTCCATGATGACAGTGAGGGGAAATAGCTGTGAAACTGAGATTTGAAGTATCGTGATGAAAGGACGTTTTGGAAGGCCAGGAACTGAACACTTGAGGAGAAATCCTAGCTCTACAGGTGGAAACTCAGTCCTCAGAATGTGGATGAAATAAATGAGTATATGCTGAAATACGTTCAAGCAGGCTTTTTTCACGGAAGTTTTATGTGGTGGTTTTTGTGCTGGCCAGCATTTTCATTTACTTTATTTGGCTTCTTGCACAAAGCAGAAGTCAGCTGCTGGACTAAATTTCTACGTCAGCCAATTTGCTAGCAAAGCTTGCATAAATTACAGATGGGTAGCTAGTACCTCAGGTTATAAGACCAAGTATAAATAAGGTGGAGGTAGACTGAGGAGGGTGACTTAACAAATGAAAACAGAATTAAGGTAATCTTTCAGATCTAATCTGAACACCTTTCAGAGCTTTCACTCGTAACATTGACTGGAAGTTGTAGAGAATACATTCTGGTGGAGGAATAGCTGTGTGAAGAACCCTTTTTAACTGGACTTCTCTTGATACTGAAGACGTTGCACATCCTGATAGTCCAGGACACCTTAAGTGTGGCATTTAGAAAAACTTGCTAACAGCTGAAGAGGGTCATCTGTCAAAATCTAACATAAAACGCAGGATGTGTGGGTTTTTATAATTCAAGGAGTCTTGCTATTATAAATTATCATAGTGGGTTGATGCTATAATGTCAAACTAGAATCTAAAAAATTATTTGAACAAGATTATGTAAAATCAGCATTGAAAGTATGTTCTAATAAAATGTGGAACCTCAAGCATATTTCATGATAACTATTTAATGCTGTAAAAACTTTGACTAGTGTTTACTCCAAATGCCAGTCTTAAAAAGCATATCGAAACTGGCAACTCCGTAAAACTAGCACTTTCTTAACTTTTCACTTTCTCACAAAATGACTTAGAGAACAGCTCCACCTAACCTCTGGAGACTCACTTCTTCCTCCCTGCCCAGTTTAATTTGAAGGGGGTCTTATTTTAGTTATGCTACTATGGTCTGAGGCAGTTTTGATTTTGAGGTTTCTCATTAATTTATATTCACCATTCTTTTTCCAAAGGAATAAACTAATTGCATAAATTCACATACTGTACAGCATTTCACAATAAGCTCTTGCACAGTTCTAACTGCTCTTGAAACTTAGGCTTTTTAAATACTGATGTATATGAACTGCCAAGGGTTTGTACTTGCATAGTCTCATTTCTGAGTAATTATCACATGCAAGAGCAGACCTGAGCTGGCCAGGACATAAAGGAAAAAGTGTGCTTCGTTTTTGGAAAGCTTGTAGTATGTGCATACTGCTCAAACCTTGAGACCTCACTAATCCTACAGCTAGCTGATATTAACAATATTTATAGCTGTAAGTAATTAGGCTGTAATATAGAAGTGCACAATCTGTTCTAATCTACTTGTAAGATTTTGTTTCTTGATTTCATAGCTGATGTTAATACCCACAGCAAGGCCAGAACTGGTATGGAGAGCTCATCAATTTGAAACGATAGAAGAAACACACAGGGTACTGGTTGAGCACAGATGACTCAGCTGCCAAAGTAATGAACCCATAAAAAGCACAAGGTATTAGTAAAAGGCTGCAATGTGAGCTCTTGTGGAAATCTCTACATAGCTGTCCATAATGAAGAAGCATGAGCTAAACCTCAAACAGCTGCTGAAAAGGGGCTGCTAAAATGACTGGACCTCCATGACTTTAAGACTAGGCATGGATAACTAGCTTTAAGGTTAAAGGGCTTAGTCACCACTATTTAAAGTATTTTTTAGCCTTCTGTTCATGGAATTCTTCTGTTAGGTACTAAATCCTGGTCATAAAAAGCATAGCGGTTTTTTTGGTGTGGGTTTTGTGTACGTATGTGGGGGTTTTTTGATGTTCTTGATGAGCATTATAGCATACTTGCAGAAGTGAGAAGTAGGGCTTAGTCCCAGGAGGCTTTCAATCCCATGTTCTGGGATTAGCTGCTGTTAGCTGAAAAGAAAATCTTCCCTGTGAGGTATTTACTTGATTATTTCCATTTTCTTCCCTGCACGAGACAATGGGGCACACTGGGTAATATTGCTTGGGCGCAGGGCAGGCAAGAAACATTTTAAATGAACCCAGGAATCAAAACTTAATTGAGTCTCACAACAGACTAGGGCACGCTTAAAGAAACTCCTTTAACTGTGCTCATGTTTAGCAACGGGAGCAAGTTTGAGCAGAAATCCAGATCGGGGGAACCTAAGGAAGGGAAATACCCTTTCATGTTGTTCAGCAGTTGTTGGCCATGAGCTTAGATTAGGCACGTCATGAGAATCTGAAAGGGAACTTAACAAACGTGCATTTCATCAAGTTAACTTCTGTGTAGGCTCTGCATGAATTCTTATTTCCAGTTTGAGCTAGCCTTCTAAGTTAACCAGGACTGAAAATTGCTACCTGGTTGTCAGAAGTAGAATGGAGTGTGCAAGATAAGCATGGTCAAGTGTCCCGGCAGAAATGTGTATCTGTCAAGTAACGTGGACATGACAAACTGCTAAAGCACTACATTTAACATCAGTTTAAACTTGCTATTTAAGTCTATTACTGATAGCAGACACAGTTCAGAGATGTGAAAAGTTAGATCTGTGTTAATTCTCTTTCGCTGGCCTATGTAGTAGAAGTTTCTGTGACAGCCTGTGCAGTAGTACCATGTACCTACCACCTGTTGCCTGGCCCACCTTACTATAAAACCCACCAAATTCACACATGGCTCAAGGCATTGCTTTTCTCCCTTCCATTAGGAAGAGTGGACTGATGATGATCTTGTGGACTCAGTCTAACCTTGAAGGAAGATGGAATCCTGCCACTGCAGAAACTACTGTTTGGTGTCAAGTGTGAACCTGCCTGCCACAGGTTCCTTACTCTGTGTCATGAGGTATTTATTCTGTCAGTTTTTAGTATCTTTGCAATAAAGCATTTGACTTTGCTAAAATAATTAGTTGTAGTTCCATTAAACCTTCATCCATTCAAGGTCAAGCATGAGTAAGAAGTGTGTGCTTTAAGGAATTTGTCACTCAGGGAAGAGTTTTGGTTCAGGAACAGTTTGAGATGTGACTTTAGCTACTGCCATGCTGTCATCCTACACTCGGGTCAAACTGGGCATTTAGTGAACTGGATAAATGCAAGCAGGAGACAGATCTGGTAACAGACCCGTATGTGCTTTAGAGCAGAATGTCCTCCCCCTCTTTCCAAGCTTGTCATTGAAGCAGCTAAAAGAGTACAACCGTGCCCATGACACTTAGTACATTTGAGAAGAGCTTCCCAAATGTACCAAGAGGCTGCACAACATATTTTACAATATGTAGAGTAATAACAACACTTTTTGTGACTTACCCTGCAGCTGTCATCTCAGATTAGGTTGCTGTGACTAACTTACCTGGGGACAACTGAGAAGAATATTTAAAAATCTTACTAAGTAGTTAGAGATCTTCCAAATCTAGGCCAAAGTCTACTTCCTTTTCCTTTTCATATACTGTTTTAGAATATAAGCAGTTCTAAATGCAACTTTGGGAGTTTCCTAGTTTCATCACTGCATTTTACCAGTGATGCTGCCTATACCCAGCCAGCTAAATCTACAAGGTAATCCACTTTATGCACTCTTGTGTTTGACAAATTCTTCTACACCAGGGTCATTGGCTGACTAGTCAGGGAAGAAAAGCAGCTATTGCAATTTCACTTCCGAAAGCCTGACACCATTTACACAAGACCTTCGTGATCAAGTGAAAGAAGCAGGACTTGACTTAACCCTGTTCCAGTTAAGTTATTTACTTAGGTTCTGAACTGGTTGGAAGCTGTAAGCAGAGCATTCAGCAGTAGTTCATCACACAAAAAAAATGTTACAAACTGGAACTGTGACTTATGTGATGTAACGGTATACAGAGAGAGGGCTTAAGTAGGGCACAAAAAAGGATTAATTACCTTTTCCTCTGAGATGCAGTTTAATACAAGCTTGGCAGCAATAGGGCAAGGAGTGGTTTTATGGGACGATGTAAAAAAACCTCCACAGTACCAAGGTCTTGCAAACAGGTGTGTCTTTACTAGGCTGTATCAAGAGCATCACCTCTGTCTACTAAGCGTAGTACTCGTGATGCCTGGGAGCTCTCAGCTGCAGCACCGGGCACCCACCTTCAAGGAAGTTGCCCCAACTGGAGGGGCCAGGGCAGCACAGCATGAGCCAACTGCAAACCTAGAAGACGTGCACTAATACAACAGCAAAGACCCCAAAGATAAAGTCTGCACAATTTAGTGTGACAGTGGATGGAAAAAGCAGTTCTAATAGACAGGAGATACTGTGCAGTTGTTCTAATGGTGTAACAACCCTGTTCATATCACACAATTATTTATGTGGTTGTCTCATTAGTCTTGTCAGTCAATCTCAGCATCCTTTTATTCCTTATTAGATCACTGCCTAGAAAAGCTACAAACAGTGATGCTGAAATACCCCTGAATCAACTGCATATTTTACTTTCAGGTTTTTTTAACAGTTTTAACATCTACTTTCTCACCCCGTGAGAGATACGTACAAAATTAAGGCATATGGAGGATTCATGCTAAAAAAGTGACACTACACAAATGTTTCGAAGTATATCATGTATGCAGACACTGTAAAAAATTTCCACAGCAGCCAAAGTTAGGCAGTTTCCATAAAGAGTTATCTGCAGCTTGATTTATTTTAAAAACTTAATTTTCACTTATAAAAATAATATTTATGGTAGGCTTACAGTACACAAAAGACCAACCAATACATATTTTATAAAATGGTTTAATGAATGCATGCATGTCTGATACAATGATCAATAAATTTACTGAATTCAAATTATTTACTGTTGTAAACATTTTACAAAAGCATTGTGATTTATCTGGATATACAGTTCTTGATGGAAGAACTATTCAGACTGAATCAGCGGCACATCAAAAAATAAAGCTGACAAGACCCATTCTGCATATTCTCTTTCAACATGATTCCAGCAAGAGAAACAGCATGGTATAAAAAGTGTACAGTAAGGATTGTTCCTACCATAACATCAAATTCTGGAAACTGTAAATACAAGTTAGAGTGGTTGAAACAGTCAAAAGTCGTAATTATTGTAACCAGTCAGAAATTACAGTAAGAAATGTTATCCAGTTTGTATGTAGCTGTCAAAACAACACATTTCTTTTCGTGTCAGTTGATAATTCTTTTCCAACGAGACAGCAAAACTTTGGCAATCAGAGGTGCTGAAAATAATTTTCAAAAGTTCAAGACACAGTCACAGCATTTTCTTTGCGGAAGGTGAACTGTACACCAAGGCTCAGAGGTTGTGAAAACTGTTTCCAAGTGGAAAAAGGTGCAAACGTCCTGCACAGATAGCTTAAAAAGCTGCTGGTACAATCATTCACCAACAGAATCTTTGTTTTTCTTTTTGCATAGTTCACACATCACTGGGAATGTGACAGGGTGTGCTATTTTTGGCAAGAGCAAGAAGAAAGTGATACTGGTGTGAGTTGCCATGTTGGGCATGCTGGATCCATGCAGAATTCAGGTAGAGGGCTGCTACCTGATGTTATTAGACACTGAATACTGATTTTGTTTTTGTTGAAGCAGTTCAGTAATAGCCAAAAGCTTCTTAAGAACATGCTGTAGAAAGAGTCAGTAAAACCATACATTAGCAACTGGAAACAGAACAGTCTTCTTGCTTGAGAAGCATTTTCAGCATTAGCCTGTCAGACCTGCTACGAGGTAGTTTAAAATGTATTAAAACAAAAAAAAGGAAAGGAAACAGCCGATTCTGTAGTCAATAAGACTTCCCTTTACTTCAAAAGGGAAGTCTAAAACAGCATTATGAACTTTGCCTCTCTTTGCCATGGATCTTGTTGCTGCTTTGTGGTTTAACAGGGAGGCTAAGAAAGTGTACTGCTGACACACTGTTGAGGATTGCTAGAAGAGTTTGCCATGTTTGTTTACAAATGCACTGGCAAATTAGGAAGCAGAAATGAGGTATCAATAGAAAGCTAATGAAAGTAAATTTAGTTCTCAACTTAAAAAAACCAAGATCCTAAAACTAACGACCTGGAGAACCTGTCAGGAGGCAGTAATTTTGCGGGTTTAGGCTTCCTCTAGAAACTAAAACTTCCTCTGGAAACTTTGAAAAAAACCTCTTTGGTTTTGTTGCATGGAGAAACAAAACTACGGACTAAGTATTTGCCTTTAGAGCTAACAACCTCCTGGCGAAATGCACGTATTTTAAAATCAGTCATACTGCTAGCCAGAAATACTCCAAACGCATCCTGATATTAAGGAGTAACTGAAGGCATACTATCTCTACCTGTGATTTGTCTGTTAACCTTTGTCGCTCACCTGCATTACACCTCGCTCATTACTGAGCGTCCGGAGTTCATCTGAGTGTGCCACACATATCTCATGCAAGGCCGCCAGATCACGAGAGAGGTCAGTTCTAGAGTGCTCTGTAGTGTCCGGAAGCTCAGGAACGTTCTTCAACAAAAAAGATGAGAGCGGATTTAGGGTGCCGAGTACCCAGGCGCACAGGAAGATAAGTGACAGCTCTGCAGCTCTGCCAACACAACTCCTCTATACTGCAAGCAAGTCCTGCGATGTTAGTCTTCCCAGCTAAGCCTCCAGTCCATCCTCCTATCACGAATTACGTATTTCCTCCTCTCCGCAAGCATGCGTTTTATGAGTATACTGCAACTTCTACTCCTGCTAGAAAGGGTTCTTACTACAAGATCTGGCATTGCTACGCTACCATTGAGCTGACCAGAAAGCTACTGCATATAGAGACTCATCTTACAACCTTCCCCTAAATGAGGGGGAATCCGTCCATCGGGTGCTTTTTTCCCATCTAAATGAGAGAGCAGCAGCAGCAACAAAAATTCAGCAAAATCTGTAACTATCAAGTAACGCATTAACACTGGTCATAAAACAATAACGTTGTAATTAAAACAGTAGATTGATCCAACAGTTATTTTCAAAACAAGTTTTCAGAGACCTCATGCAAAATCTGTCATGTAAAGAAAACTGGCGTATCATAATATGCAGAAGTTGCAATTTAACCAGAAAAATGTGACATACGGCAACCTACCCGAACGCCACGCTCATTTTTATATCTTATCAAAATATTCTGAGATGTCTTCTAGGTCACTTTTAAGGGATCAATTCAGGAAGCTTGGCACATTTTTTTCATCTTGTTTTTTAAAATGAATTCTTCATTTAAAAATACACATCTGTAACATGAGGTCCTAACTCCTGTTACAGCTAACATACACAAAACAGTAACCGTTTAAAAGAATACAGTAACTGCAGCTCACTTTCAAACTACAATACCTAGAATGCACGCAGTGACACAGGTGGAAATGCATAACTGAAATTCAACCTAATATTTTTTAAAGTGAAAAATAATTTCAATCTCTGGTCAAAACCATATGACAAATTATATATAAGAATTTCTGTTTTAAAAAGTATTTTTAAAGATTTGTATTTTTGGCCAAAATTTCTAATCCTCATAGCTATAAAATCTATTTGAGCTTCTCACATCTACAGAGGCACTAAATGAATAAAGTCTAAGATGACATTTTTAATTGTCACGGTTTTAATTCCGTACAACAGGCCAGCAATCTGCAGTTTCTAAACATGCGTAAGCACAATTTATTCAGTTACAAGCATTCAACATCGTGTGGAAGCTGATGCATTTTTGAGTTAGTTAATAAGCGTAAAGAATTTTCATTTGCAATGTTGGTATATAAGTTCCAGTAAAGATTTTTTTTAACCACTTACCCCAAGTTCATCCAAGAACATGATCATGCGATGTTTGTTGCTCTTGATGAATGGATTTACCCCTTCCATATATGGCTCCTAGTAATTTTTAAAAGTATTCATTAGAACAAATCAATGCCAAGATAATTGTCATACCTGAAGTGAACACAGTGCAGTCAAGACAAATGACATCGCAAGACAAGTATGTCATCTGGAGGGATTTCATTTTTCCAAGTGAATTTCTCATGTCTGGTGTGCAGCCAGTCAAAAGACTCCAGAATTCGTTATTTTCTTACATTCAGAAGATTCAGAATCTCCGATTCAGAAGTTTTCTTATCCACGCATACTGACATGAATGTGCATTAAGACGAATGTCTCTCAATACCTAGCTGCGATGAACGAGTGCTCTACTTTCAAAGCTGTGATCAGGAATAAGCGCCCTCTTTCTTGTTCTTTCATTAACACTGACATTCCAAGTTAGGTGTGTCAGAGAAATAACTTTACAATGCCAGCCTGGACTCACTTTCATTATGCTTAAGTCAACAGATCGGTTTTTCAACCCTATTTCAGCCTGGGAGCTGAGACAGACCAGTTGTTGCTGGCATTCTCTAAGCGTTGTAATAGAAACTTTACTGAAAGCTGGGGCTTTTCAGTGCAATATTTGCACTTGATTTACAACATTAATTATGTCTAGCAATATGAAAACGAGTACAAATAGAAGGGGTGCTTTGAAGTGCTCTACCACAGAAAACACCGATTTAAGGAGTAATTAAACACAGGGTGAAAGCGGGGGAGGGGGAAGAGTCAGAGGTTGGCAGTTCTTCATTTGTTTCAGAATTGGATAATCTACACCAAGCTGGGAATTCAGGCCCGATTAGTCTCAATCTGAAAGTTAATTACTACATATGGATAGAACACGTGCGTGGAATGCATTTCAAGGCTGTGTACAGAAGCACACCAATATTACTGGAAGATGCCCCCCCTTTGACATCAAATAACCAACAGAAATGCAAAAAAAGCTCCCATCATCTATTCAGGGCAGAATATTTATCCTTCTGCTTCTTTCTCACGACAGATGTGTGCTCTAGCAATTCCCAGTTGTCTTTTTGATACGGATATTCCAAAGGAAAGTGTGCCCATTTACCATCACGGACACTTCTGTTGCGGTGGGATGGCTGCCTGCTTTTCCTCTCCCACTTCTCCCCTCTAACGCAGGAAATACTGGAGTATGACTGCTACCTTTTCTGTCGCAAATGGAAAAAAGAATGCTCCACATACTTCCACTGCTGTCTTTGGAACAGATGCCTGCCGAGTCTATCTGTGTTCTCATAGCATCAATACGTGGTTGCGTCACGCTGCGTAAACCTACTGCCTACTGGTACGGTCATTTGTTATTTTAACAGGCCATTGCTGGTGTTCCTACTGCCAGACTGAAAATCGTCACGGGATGTGCCAAGTCATCGATGTGAGTCTCTAGATCACTGCCTCTCAAATGATTATGGCTCCTCTTCCCAATTTGACCAGACTTTATGCCACTGCTCTAATCGAGATCAACACCCCATTTAGCTCTAAATGACGAGGACAGAAGAAATGGCAGCAACAAGGCCTCCTTGCTGATGAGGACAAACAGGTGATGTATCAGGCTTTGCACAAGAAAACGGCAACAGATTTTTGCATGTATTAAACAGTGTCCTGGTTTCGGCAGGGATAGAGTTAATTTCCTTCCTAGGAGCTGGTACAGTGCTGTGTTTTGGGTTTAGGATGAGAACAAAGTTGATAACACACCGATGTTTTAGTTGTTGCTGAGCAGTGCTTACACTAGCCAAGGACTTTTCAGCTTCCCATGCTCTACCGACTGAGAAGGCTGGAGGTGCACAAGAAGCTGGGAGGGGGCACAGCCAGGACAGCTGACCCAAACTGGCCAAAGGGATATTCCACACCATGTGACATCATGCTCAGTATATAAACTGGGGGGAGTTGGCCAG